AAATTCAGAGAGGGAGGGGGGGGGGGGGAGTTTGAAAAATTTATTCTGACAATTTTTGTTTACTTTTTTCTTTTTATAACACGTCAGGAGGCTCTGGTGTTCGCCGGTCGCGAATTGGAAATCCAATTTCGAATGTCCAGACCATTGACCGACTTCATGGCGACGTTGCACAAAAATGGCATCGAAGAGAAACGGCTGTCCAAATACGTAACGCATTCGATCGCCGACAATGACGTGGTGACTTTCTCCATCAGCTTCCCCGAGGAGGGCCAGTATGGCTTAGATATTTACACCAGGGAATCGACGAGTCCTACAAACGTGCCGCATGACATCACCGGTGAAAAACACTTGCTCACGCATTGCTGCAAGTATCTGATCAACTCCAGCAAGAGGAATTAGCAACGTCGACTATGATTTCACACACAGACACACACACACACACACACACACACACACGATATACCGATTTCGCTGGATCGATTCGATACATGGATACGAAGAAATATATCGCATGTAACAATCGGCACACGTGATGAAACTAGACTAAAGGTGCTGCAAGTGCTCTCTTACCATTGTGTACTTTCCTACGAGTTCACTAGAAATGTGAGGAGGTTCGAGTAACGTGTAAGAACTAATCTATGAGATTAGCCTTTACTTGCCAGTAAACGATCGACTAAAGAGTTAACTAAAGATCTTGTCAGGGTGACGATTATATTATACAAGATGGTGTTCACGATGGTAGCCAGGGAGACAGAAGGGAAAGTATAATTCGTTCTTGAGACTGTGTTATGCGAGAAACTTTGAAAAACATCACCGAGTGCAAGAACGATTCCGATCGTGCTACCTCCACGTTCTACTTTATAATTTATAGTAATGATTATTTTACATGAGATGTATTTGAAGTCAAAAGCCTCGGTGCAGACGAGCGACTTCTTGTCGTCTTTCCCATCCAGTGAAGTTTTTAATTTTAGTGAATGCAAATTGAAATTCGCTACGAGCAAAGGTTACAGTGACAGAGACGGAGCTCAAAGAAGTAATGTGATTTGCTCGTTTACGTCAAATCTAATCATCGAGAGAGAAAAGTTTTTTGCCCGATGATTACCGTGTCGTTTGTATTTCCGTTCCGAAAGTTCGCAATTATAAGTTAACCAGTTCTGGAGATCGACTGTCGGGCACCGACCGAATTAATCAAACTTTCTCGCCTCGACCCGAAGCATTAATCCCAATTATCTCGGTCTGTTTTAATTCAATCATCTTGAGAATCGCGTTTCATTTCCACGTGTTCGAGCTGTTCGAACAGAATCGAAACGAGAAATTCGATCAAACGCGAGGTGCTTCTGTGTATATAAATAATGTACACGATTCATCGATCTTCCAATCAATCGGTAGAAACGAGCAGAATCAGTGATTATCGATCGAGATGAAAAGAAAATCGGCGACGAATGGTTCGTTTCCAAAAATTCGCGCGCTTTGTTCTCAAGTCTTCTATGTTCTTCGTATTCTAACAATGGTATATATAAAGCATTTCTGTTTTCCTTTCCTGCGAACCACCACAATTGCAAAATTGTCACACGAGGCGGAATAATTACAGCAGAATCTTATTTATCTGAGTAAATTGGTGTAACCCGATAATCGAATATCTTTAATAATATTATGATGATAAGTATTAACTTGTTCGTACAGACGAGATGTTCGATTTTTCCCGAGAAACACCATTATTCCAGTAATTATGTAAGTTCGTCGAGGTTCAGAGAGAGATTTTAAAATCATTAAATTTTACGGTTGCGGTGGTTGCTGAACTTCAGGTGCTACATGTTACTCTGTCAGGATTAGTTGCACGAGTCTAGTTATTTTCGTACGCGAGAAGCGCGAGAACGTTGAATTTTTTTCTAGCGGGAAGTTTTCAGCGGTGAAGCCTATATAATTGTTAATTCTTGTAATATCTTTTCTTAATATCTTTCTTCCTCCCTCCTCTCTCGTCTTTGTTGTTATTCCGAAGTTATAACGACGCTTACGCAAAGGATATTCCCCACGATTCCTGTTACCGGTGGAATAAACTATAACTCGAGCTTAATATTCCCTTTCTCATTGTTTCTCTCTAACGAGCATGTAAATTAATTTTTATACATATTACAGATGCGTCATGAAAACTCGTGTTCTTGTAAAAAAAAAAAAAAAGAAATAAAAAATAAAATGGAATTAATAAAATCTAATTTTATGGTCATCGTACGGACATCTGATTCATCCAGTGTGAGCTTTACGTGCAATTCTCTTTGTTATTAATACTTTGATTAATTTAAATAATTAATTCTCACATATACGTACGGTAGCATAAGAAAGTAATGGAGCACGTGTAGAAAGCTTTTATATAAATTATGCGAGTTCTCGGAAATATTTTGAAATTATAGCATTCACATTAGAATTCGACTATACTTGTAAAAGTGTTTGTACATGTACAATAGTAATTACTTTTCAAATTGTCCCGCCTCTTCTCCGTCAGGAACTTCATCAATTCGCTTGCAGGTGGCAGCACTGTTTCAGTTTGCCGCCGGATCGCGTCACGCAAAATCCTGCGCTTCGTTTCAGCGCGACAAACGAAACGTCAATGTGTCGTGGAAATACTTTAAACTGTGCCAGATCGAAGATAAACGCCAAGTTTTACTCGTCCAAATGGGGAACCGGTGGATTCGACTATCCAGCACGCGTTTCAGTCAAAGTTGAAGAATAGCTGTCGACGAGCAGCAACGAGAGCGGTGAGTGTGACGAGCCCTTTCACGTTTATACGCTTCAAATAATATATACATTGACCACGTATTGTCACCGAACGGGTCGAAATGATATATATATATATATGTACGATATCCATCTTTCGAAAGTTCTGCGTATTTTGCTGTCGCTACGACAGATTCGCAATAATTCATAGTACACGACCGTTACGGAACGTCGCGTTTCAAAATGTCTACGTCAAAAGCAATCACGTGACCCGTACCTATATCGATCTATCGAAGCCAGGAGAATCTCGCGTGTTTTTCTCCTTTATTTTTCGACCTCGGGCATTCTACCCCCGCGAAGCTGCTTAAAATGCGTTCGTAACCGGAATTCCACTCATAACTGGTCGCATTCCCGTGTTTTCTCATAATTGTAAAAAATTTTACGGTCAAACCTTTATTAAAGTTCGCATATATATATATATATATATATATAACTTTTATTAAAGTTCGCATATATATA